GCGGAAGGCACTGGCGTTAGCGCAGTGCGACCTGGGACCGGCGTCGACCTTTGACGACAATGATCCTCAATGGAATGACGCGTTTCTGTCGTCGGACTACACCAACTAGGAGTAGTTTCTACTATGTTTGCATCATAGTATCGTTTTTATCTATTTTTATTATTTGTATCATATGGACTAGTTTGCGGCGTTGGGCTTGATGAACTATGCTATTTTTATCGTATGAATTTTATCTATTTGCATCATATGAATTTTATCTCTATGTAGATTTTTTATCTATATGCTATTCGTATATGTTGCAAGGTAGTACCTGTTGCTCGCGCATCATTTTTTGCCGCGCCTGTTGGAGCTGCTCGTGCATGCCATATTTTGCAGCGGCCGCTGGAGCTAGCGCCTTGCTGCGCAAAAAAATGCTATTTCGGCATTGTAAATGTTGGGGAACGTAGTAATTTCAAAAAAATTCCTACGCACTCGCAAGATCATGGTGATGCATAGCAACGAGAGGGGAGAGTGTTGTCTACGTACCCTCGTAGACCGTAAGCGGAAGTGTTATGACAAAGCGGTTGATGTAGTTGTACGTCTTCACGATTGACCGATCCTAGTACTAAAAGTACGACACCTTCGCGATCTGCACACGTTCAGCTCGGTGACGTTCCACGAACTCACGATCCAGCAGAGTGTCGAGGAAGAGCTTCGTCAGCACGACGGCGTGATGACGATAATTATGATGCTACCGGAACAGGGCTATGCCTAAGCACCGCTACGATATGACCGAGGTGGATTATGGTGGAGGGGGGCACCGCACACGGCTGGAAAAAATCAACTTGCGTGTTCTAGGGTGCCCCCTGCCCCCGTATATAAAGGAGCAAGGGGGCAGGCCGGCCGGCCTTGGGGCGCGCCAAGGAGAGGGAGGAGCCCTCCTCCTAGTAGGAGTAGGACCCTCCCTTTCCTAGTCCAACTAGGAAGAAGGAGGGGGAAGGAAAGAGAGGGAGAGAGGGGAGGAAAGAGGGGGCGCCGCCCCCCTCCTTGTCCAATTCGGACTCCCAAGGGGGGGCAGCCCTATGGACCCTCCCCTCTCTCTCACAAGGCCCATGTTGGCCCATTAGTTCCCCCGAGGGTTCCGATAACCCCCCGGCACTCTGATAATTATCCGGTGACCTCCGGAACTCATTCGGTGTCCGAATATAGTCATCCAACATATCAATCTTTATGTCTAGACAATTTTGAGACTCCTCGTTATGTCCGTGATCACAACCGGGACTCCGAACTACCTTCGGTACATCAAAACACATAAACTCATAATACCGATCGTCACCGAACGTTAAGCGTGCGGACCCTATGGGTTCGAGAACTATGTAGACATGGCCGAGACACGTCTCCGGTCAATAAACAATAGCGGAACCTGGATGTTCATATTGGCTCCCACATATTCTATGAAGATCTTTATCGGTCAAACCACATTACGATATACGTTGTTCCCTTTGTCATCGGTATGTTACTTGCCCGAGATTCGATCGTCGGTATCTCAATACCTAGTTCAATCTCGTTACCGGCAAGTCTCTTTACTCGTTCCATAATGCATCATCCCGTAACTAACTCATTAGTCACATTGCTTGCAAGGCTTATATTGATGTGCATTACCAAGAGGGCCCAAAGATACCTCTCCGACAATCGGAGTGACAAATTCTAATCTCAATCTATGCCAACTCAACAAACACCATCGGAGACACCTGCAGAGCACCTTTATAATCACCCAGTTACATTGCGACGTTTGGTAGCACACAAAGTGTTCCTCTGGTATTCGGGAGTTGCATGATCTCATAGTCATAGAAATATGTATAAGTAATGGAGAAAGCAATAGCAACAAACTAAACGATCATCGTGCTAAGCTAACGGATGGGTAAAGTCAATCACATCATTCTCTAATGATGTGATCCCATTAATCAAATGACAACTCATGTCTATGGTTAGGAAACATAACAATTATTGATTCAACGAGCTAGTCAAGTAGAGGCATACTAGTGACATTCTGTTTGTCTATGTATTCACACATGTACTGAGTTTCCGGTTAATACAATTCTAGCATGAATAAGAAATATTTATCATGATATAAGGAAATATAAATAACAACTTTATTATTGCCTCTAGAGCATATTTCCTTCAGTAAGACAGTTTAAGTGTGTCGTGCAGTTGCACGCCTGTTGGAGATGCTCTTACGACCGAACTCATATGATTAGACATATGTAGCTTAGAGCATCTCCTGCCGTTTGGCCCCCCAGCGCACCCCGCAAAGGGCTTTTGGCGTTTGCACCGGCAGTTTTTCCGGCCTGGGGGCGATCGAGCTCCCAGCCGCGCCCCCAGGTTTCGGCCCCCAAACGCATCAAAATTCAAAGTTCACTTTCCCGCTACCAAAAAATGACACAGTTCAGCAATCATCATGCCACAAGTCGACAATCGAAATAGCCGAAGTTTGGCAATCAAAAGGGTAGCAACAATAGACATGGAGCTTATCAAATGGCAGGCTCCTCTACTGCAGGGCTGGTCGAGCTAGGCATCGGCGTGGGCACAACTTCAGTGCTCGGTCTCGGCGTCGGTGTGGGCACAACTTCAGTGCTCGGGCTCGGCGTCGGTGTTGGCGTAGTGGGCGTAGGGGCGGTGGTCGCCGCCGGTCCCGACGTCTGGTTCAAGATGAGGCTGCGCTCCGCCAGGTACCACGCCTTCACCAGCTCGTCCATCGTCGACGTGTCTACCCCCGTCAAGAACGCCAGGTTGGTGTTCCTCTTCTTTGCGACAACGTTGGTCCTCAGAAGGTCGAGCGTGACGTCCTGCTTCGTCATCAACACCGACCACCTCACATCAGATTTCTCCTTCCTCTTGGCATCGGCGATGCACTGCTCGATCAACGATTGCGGCCGTTCAGCAGCGGGTGCCACGTCCTTCGTCGCCTTGCTTCTTTTGTTGCCATCAGGGCGCCCTTCTGCCACCGCCAGGGCAGGAACCTCCGGGTTGTAGACGTCCTTCGCCTTGGCGAGAGCGATCCGGCACTCCGTCCATTTCTCGCATGACTCGATCCTGGTGAACACATGAAGGAACTTGAACTCTTGGTCGCTGTTGTCCTGTCGAAACATGTTAAACATCTGAACCATCTGCACAGCCAATGAAAAAAGTGTCCGTGAAGTACAAGACGAAGAACTAGGTCGGCGACCGATGGCCATACCAGACACTCGACGTTGGCGCCGCTTTCCGGGAGAGCGGCGACCTCCGCTTGAATCCCATGCCACCTTTTGCAAGCTGCCTGGATGGTCGCCAATGGTTCGCCATGGCCTTCTTGCCACGGTCCATGTGGATGTTGGCGAAGTCGGGGTCGACCAACTTGCACCCGTCGAACGCCGTCTTGATCCTTCGCCAGTACGAGTCGGCGTTTTGATTCAAGCCAGCGACCGGGTCGATGCTGACGGTCTTCCATGCTTCGGCAAGGCACTCATCTTCCTTGGACGTCCACTTGACGCGAGGCTCGCGCGGCCTGGCGTTGGTCGCCCGCTTCTTCTTTCTCCCTTTGGGCGCCGGCTCCGCCTCCGCCGGTTCTTCCTCCCCACCTCCTCCCCGACATCGTCGAGCTCGTCCTCCATGTCCACGGCAGCGTCCAGGGTTTCGTCTTGCGTGTGGAACCCGGGGCATGAAGCAGCGATGACCGAGCCGTTCGTGATGATCTCGTCCATGTCAGCGTCGGTGCTACTAAACTATGGCGCCGAGCCGTGTGCGAAGGGTAGGGCGTCACGGCGCAGAGGTGGTGTAGGCGAACCTGAGTAAGTCAGTGGCGAGTAGCTGTACCGGGTGTTCAGGTCGACGGCGAACACGGGGGAGCGAGTGCGCAGGTCGGGGTTGAAGCTGGAGGGGGCGCGCGCGGCGCCGCGCCATGCGGGAAGGTGATGTTGGGGTTGAAGCCGCCATGCGCGTCGCCGTCGGCGTAGCCAGGCGAGGGCGCGTACCCCCACAGTGGCGGCGAGAAGTTGGCCGGCGACGTGACGCTCTGCTGGCTCCCCCACGCGGCTTGTGGGCACTGGCTGGCCTGTTGGGGCGGAAGGTTCGCCATCCCCGCGCGAGACGCCTCCTCTTGCTCCGCCGCCGCCGCGTCCCTGGCCTTCTTCATTATGAGCATGTTCCGCCGGTCGACGGTGACCACCTCCCGACGATCAACATCGGCCTTCCACTAGGCATTCGACAAGCCCGGGGGCCTTGCCATCGGCGCCCTCGGCTTCCTCTGCTTTGGCTGGACGGCATCGGCGGCTAGGTGAGGGGGCGCATACTTCTTCGGCGGCATGGCGGGCGGATTTGGGGAGAGAATGGCAGGAGCGGCAGGGGAGAAGGGGGCGACACTGGGGAAATGGAGGAAAAGGGGGAAGAAAACGACGGGAAATCCGCCGGTGTCGTTGACAATGCAGGCCCACGCGCCTTTTCGCTTCAGCCGGCGCCCCCCGGTGTGCTGGGTTCGGCTTGGGTTCGCCGGTTAAACGAGGATCGAGGGGCGCGAGTGGGCCGTTTTTTCGTCGGCATTAAAAAAGACGCCCGGGGGCTATTGGGGGGTGGGGTGGGGGAAGGGAAGTGAAGTGAAGATGCTCTTAGCTCACGCTGTCAGTCTGACACAGGAGTAGAATAATGTCCACATAAGCACGCTGCATGAGACCATTAACATGTCTCAGCAGTCAAGATTTGTCAAAAACCAGCTAGCTTAGCTGACCTGTTCCCATCCTGCCACGCGAGGCCAACATCAGGTAGTACGACAACATCGTGGGCCCGTCAATACATTAGGCGGCACATGAACGAAGCACTGCAGAACCTTGTGCGAACCTACGACCTTTGCAGCGTATATAAACCACCTAGCCCGCCTCAGCCGTTCCTTGCAGCCGCCCGCCCACTCGACTAGTTTCTCGAGATCTCTCCGGCGCCCGGCTAGCTACTTAGTGGTACCTACCTAAGCAGCGGCGGTGGCGGGCGTTGCCATGGAGGAGCACAAGCCGCTGGCGGCCATGGTGGTGGTGCAGTGCATCTACGCGGCCATGGCGCTGTGGGCCAAGGCCATGTTCAGCCGCGGCATGAGCCCCATGGTGTTCGTCGTCTACAGGCAGGCCATCGCCACCGCTGTCCTCGTCCCCATCACCTTGCTCGCCAACAGGTAACACAAGATCGATCCCTCTCTCTCTCTCTCTCCTTCTCCCACTTCATAGACATCCGTTGGCGTAAATAAATTGTTTGTGTAAATAAATTGTCTTTTCTCCAGGAAGAGGCTGAAGGAGATTGTTTGCATCGGGACGACAGGCTTCGTGCTGGTGTTCTTGGCCTCTCTCGTCGGGTACGTCCATATATGCCTTCTCGCGGTCTTGCGAACGGTCACGTACGTGCTGAGCTGAGCACCGAAGCGATCGAACAGTCTTGTTTACATCACTGATCATTTCTTCCTAAAAAAAACATTACTGATCATTTCATTTGGTGTGTATATCTGCAACGAATTAACAGGGCGACGGCGAATCAGTACATGTACTACCAAGGCATCTACCTGGGGTCATCGTCCATGGCGACGGCCATGACGAACCTGATACCGGCGATCACCTTCGTGCTGGCGACGTCAGTAGGGTGAGTACCGTACCTGGAACTGCAAGCAGTAAGCCGGCATTGCATTTTATTCACATCGTGTGTTCACAGTTTCTCATCATGCAAGTTTCATCATCTGTGGTCTAAAAATGAAATCCAGGCCATGAGCGTGTGCGCACCTTGTAGATCTCTCGCGTCACTGCTTAGTCAGCTGAAGGGTATCGGGGACGATAATTATGGAATTAACTAATGGGGCAGTTAGGGTCATAATATATGTACTACTTCTACAGTATATGTAGGTAAGGTAGATCCAGAGAATATATATCCTATTCCTATGGGACAATAAACTGTGGCTAACAAGACAACTTGTGCCCTCAACCACTAAGTAATCCAATTTTGTCAGTGTTCGTGCTTATAATGGTGGTAAGTGCGGGAAGCGCACGCATGTCTGAGCTGTGTGACAGATCGATGCTTGGAGCTTCCGCAGTATTCCTGCCTGCATGGTAGACGTAGACGTGAAATGTTATCTGGTGTGGGCGTGTGTGGCTTGAGTACGTAACATGTGTGCGGTGTTCATCATCCTCTGTGTGTAGTGTAGGTTACCTCCCAATTAGTTGTGGTGAACGACGATTCCCGGGGACTGTCGGCATCTTGTGCTCTTCCTGTTTCTGTCAATTTTCCCACTGATCGTGCAGATCGAACATTCTCTTCTCTGTAAACACATGGAATAGGGCTAAAAGATTTAGGTCTAGTATGTGTCTTATGTTCCAAAATGCTAGAAAATTACTTTTACTTATACTACATGTAAGGAGAATGACAAGTAACAGAAATCATCTAGCACCCGACACTGCTGACTGTACTACAAAATGCAATGAAGGCTGTCTTTCTAGGACACCAGCACAGTAGTGCCGACAACGTACGTGGGGGGCTACGTACGGGGCAGCATTATTTGTGGAACGCTTCGGGGCAAAATACAAATAATTGGTACTGTCACACGTTGTCACTTATATACACTCTGTTCTCCATCACTGTGTATGAGTGTCAGTGGGCACTCTAACTAAGTGGGCTTCTTGCTATAAGTAGTACTCTATTTAGGGAAGTATTTTACTGGAAACTCAATTACGAAAGTGGAATTGGTTACTAATGAAATTACCGCCGGCTCATGAACGCAGTCTAGAATGCGTGGAGATGAGGAAGCCGCGAAGCGTGGCCAAGATATTCGGCACCGCCGTCTGCGTCGGAGGCGCCATGGTCATGACCTTCCTCAAGGGCCCCAAGCTGCTGCACGACTCGCTGGGCGTCGGCGGCGCCGGGCTGGGCCTGGACGACCTGCTTCTTCTCAACTCGCCGGGGAGCCGGAACTGGGTGATGGGCGCGCTGTTCCTCGTCGGCAGCAGCTCCTGCTGGTCGCTCTGGCTCATCATACAGGTCCGTGTCAGTCAGCCAGCCAGGAAGATCTTCAGGGAAGAGGAGCACAATATTAACCTTCTACTATTTCACAGGTGCCGATCTGCAAGTCGTACGTGGATCCCCTGACGCTGTCGGCCTGGATGTGCTTCCTGTCCACGGCGCAGATGGCGTTGCTCAACTCCTTCGTGCTGCCGGGCCTCGACGCCTGGAAGATCCACTCGCTCTTCGAGCTCATGGGCTGCATCTTCGCCGTAAGCTCATCGTCGCCCCATCCACTTTCAGTATTTCCCGTACGTGTCGCCGCCGTTTCCGCGGACAAACAACCACGGAGTATGTACAAGTGTTGAACAATGTCGATCGTTGGGCACGCAGGGCGCGGTCGGGTCAGGCGTGACGTTCTACCTGCAGTCGTGGTGCATAACGGTGAGGGGCCCTCTCTACTCGGCCATGTTCAACCCCCTCTGCACCGTCGTCACCACCGTGCTCGCCACCGTCATCCTCCACGAACAGCCACACATCGGAAGGTGCGTCTTACTGTCTGCAACTTCAGCATGCAGTTCGGTTTTGCTGATCCTGCCATTTTATTACTACTGTACTTCTCAACTTACCTAGCGAAACGGTTCTGCTTGTCCAGCTTGTTGGGTGCATTCGCCGTGGTAGCCGGGCTGTACATCGTGCTGTGGGGCAAAGCAGGCGACGTCAAGAGCCCGAGGGCGGCGGGGCACGCCGATGATCTGGAGAAGACATGGTCGGGCTCTCAGCTCCTCGACGCGGAAAGTACGATCACCGCGCCGCTCCTGGCGGACAAGAATCCGATCGAGAAGTAGTGGCTCTACAATTTTGGAACAGCCAGTGATCTTTCTCAGCTTATGGTCGCATGTGTTCTGTAGCTGCATGGTTGTTTTTCGAGGGAGAGTACTAGTGTGCTGGTGGACCATGTGGCCAAGCCCATGGTATCGCCGCTAATGTACAAAAGATAATGGCCGTAAATGTTGTTGTGTCCCACGAATTTAAGATGAGGTAGGGGGTGGGGGGCTGTGCTTACCAATTACGGCACCATTGTCTTCACAATTCGGTGCGCTACAATCAAATCGTACAGATCAAGTTCCACTTGATCACGCAGAAACTTCAGAGGCGAATCTGGCTTCTTGACTGACACTGACGGTGCGCCCCTGCAGCCATTGTGCATTTCTCCAGTCAGTATGTATGTTCAGTCTAGGCAATAGTCATGCTGAACTAGTGCCAGGCGGCGAGCGAGCTAACGGATGAAAATGAAAGGTGCTAAAGAAATAAAAACGCCGACGACCACATGGCGCCAGCCAATTCAGGATAGTAGGAGAGGAGAACTCGGGCACGAATGCCGCAGAAACCAATTGATTAGAGGGGAACATGAGTCACAGCACCGAAAAGAAGCACAAGAGGACATGATCACGGTGCATACTTTAAGGCGAAAATTCCAAGCCGGGCGATCCACGCATGCTCGCCGCATCACCGTGGGCAGCCGGCGCTCAACTCTTTATCTCATCGTCTGGTAGCAGCTGGTTTGACTGCAAAACCCGAACCGTAAACAAAATTAGCACGCAAAACCTGGCTTGTCCGCCGCACATGGATGCTCCTACTTAGCTGGTGGCTGCCGAGCGGGCGCGATGGCGATGGCGATGGCGATGGCGGGCGGCGGATGGCGGGCGTGGGCGGAGCGGCACAAGCCGTGCGTGGCGATGGTGCTGGTGCAGCTCTTCTACTCGCTGGTGGACATGGCGCTCAAGACGGCCTACGGGCTGGGCATGCGCCCCATCGTCTTCGTCGCCTACCGCCAGGGCATCGCCGCCGCCGCGCTCCTCCTCGCCTCGCTCGCCGCCAGGGGGCTCACGCTGCGCCCCATGGCCGTCGGCTCCCGGGCCTTCGCCCTCCTCTTCCTCGCCTCCCTCGCCAGGTACGCACACACATCTCGTCCTCTTCATCTCTGATGGTACGGCTCGATTCCGGCACCTTGCGCTGATACGATACATGTCGATCGATGTTGCAGCGCGACCGGGCAGTACTTCTACTTCATGGGGCTGCAGCTGGCGTCGCCGTCCATGGCCCGGGCCACCACCAACCTCGCCCCCGGCATCACCTTCGCCATCGCCGCCGTCATCGGGTACTCGCTCTGCTCCTCCTCCCCTTTCTCCGCTTTTTGCCGGTGCGTCAGACAGAGCATGCTGGCCGTCCGATTTCTTTCGTTGGTCGCTTGTAGTTTTTTTTTTTTAGAACTTGGTCGCTTGTAGGTGTAGCCGTGTAGCTACTCATTTTGCATAGGCCCACTAGGTCAGTCAGCCCATTGATTGTTCGGGCTTGTGGCTTTCGTCTGGTCCACCACGACTCCTCCATTTCGGCCCACTAGTGGAGTGACTCGAAACGCCTGACCGATCATCCCATTCCCACGCTTTTCGCAGGCTGGAGAAGGTGGACTTGAGGAGCTCAAGAAGCATCGCCAAGATCGTCGGCACCGTCGTCTGCCTCGCCGGAGCGATGCTCATGGCGTTCTTCAAGGGCCCAAAGCTTCTCGGCGCCCTGCTCCTGCCGGCGACCGATGACTGGGTGCGAGGCGGCATCTACCTCATGGGGAACGCCTTCTGTTTCTCCATCTGGTACATCTTGCAGGCAAGCATTGCATTGCATGCACCTTGGCTTGAAAACATTCATCCCATTTCTGTCAGAATGTGGACAAAATGTGTATGCTCTGTGCGATTGATTGGTTTCTGAATGATGATGATGATTCGCGGTCATTTTCAGGTACCGGTCTGTAAATCCTACCTTGATCCGCTGTCCTTGGCAACCTGGATGTGCTTCCTAGCGACCTTGCAATGCGCGGTGATGGCCTTCTTCCTAGAAGCGAACTACATGGAGATCTGGAAGCTTGCTTCTATCTGGGAGCTCCCCTGCATCTTATACGGAGTAAGTTTTGGTCCATTTAAATGCACGCATGGCATGGTAATCCACATGTTGTTCTGAACTGTGTTGATGTATAATGAGCTTGGCCACTTAACAACACTGAACAATTTTTGCAGGGCGTTTTCGCATCGGGCGCAAACTTTTTTATGCAATCTTGGTGCATATCAGTGAAAGGCCCCCTTTACAGCGCAATTTTTACACCGCTGAGCGCGGTCATCACAACAATATTGTCCACGCTCGTCCTTCACGAGGAACTGCATATTGGGAGGTATGTCGACTGAACTTCCTATTCTGCTCGGTACATAATCACTGCTACCGTGGATGATGTTTACCATGAAATTGTCTGTGTGCAGCGTGTTAGGTGCTATTGTAATCATCCTAGGCCTGTATGTTGTGCTGTGGGGTAAAGCTGATGATGCAAGCGGTGAGGGGCTGGCCATCCGCTCTGGTGATTCTGAAAGCATTTTAGAGCAAGATTGTATGGGTGTAAAAGTAGAAAGTGGGACCAATCTTTCAGAACCATTGTTGTTATCTGAAAACGCGGATGCTGATGCTTCGAGATGCCAATGACATTGCTGTTTTTTAGAATCAGCTTCTAGCCTTCGAATTATAATGATCCCTTTTTCTGATACTTCTTTCACTGCTTGCTTGTTGCCAAAATATGTGTACATATTTTTTCCATGAGCAGTTTTAACATGGTCCCTCTTACCCCCGCTTTTCACATGAGAGGTAAGAGTATAAAATAGATCTGAGCCATTGATCTCATTAATTAATGACCTGATTAACTCTTACCTTCTTACCTCACATGTAAAAAGAGGAGGTAAGAGGGACCATGCTAAAATTTGCCTTTTCCCATTTGATAGTTCTTGGCCAATGGCCATGCTACGTTATCAAACTCACAGTCTAGCTGTCTGCACAATGCTGAATGTGCCGAGTATATATTTGACCCAGCCAGTCAGGAACCCATCGCTGTCTGGCATTATTAGGATTAATCAGGGAACATGGAAGATATTGGAAGACGCCAATTGGCAAGGACTGAGACCTATGTTAAGAATGATTACTAGTCTGACTAGAGAGTCACACAGAAGGGACCACAAGAAGGCGATGCCTAGCTACAACTATTCTTGCAAGTGAAAGTGAAACGAAGAGGATATCTCTTCAATGTTTACTCATGACAATATTACCTAAACTCTTCCTTCATGAAGAACTCCATACTGGGAGTGGGAGGTATGCACCAACTTCATTCCCCATTAGGTCCACTGAACCCTGTTGTGTTCAGTGGATAATAACTCTTTGCTGTGGATGATGTTTACAGTGATTTTTTTTTCTTTCACGCAGCGTATTAGGCGCTGTCACCATCGGCCTCTGTGTAGCCCCGTGGGGTAAAGAAGATGATGGAGAGGGTGAGAGCATGGTAGAACAAGATAGCATCGTTGTAAAAGTAGAGAGTGAGAACAATCCTTCAGAGCCATTGTTATCTGAAAACGTGAACGCTGATACTTCGACATGCCAACGATAGGAGTATTGCACTAGCACTACTCTAAAAATCTGCCTTCGGCCTTTGAACTGATAATCAGCTGTCTCCCATACTTCCTTGAACCGTCTGTCAGCCAACAAAACAAAATTGTTCGTGACTTTGCAGCCATGCATGCTAAAATTATCAGACACGGAGTCTGGCAGTCTGCTGAACGCATATGATCAGATTTGACCCAGGCAGCCAGAACCCATCGCTGTCCGTCATTACTAGGACGACTGAGCCAACATGGAAGATATGTTAGCTGTTAAGACAGTGAGGCCTATGTTAAGAAGGGCTACTAGCTAGTCCAAAACGAAAGAGTCGCGCAGAAACGACATCGGGAAGGCGATGCGATGCCTAGCTATAACGATTCTTGCAGACGAAAGTGTAACGAGGAGGATATCTTGGGAGGTTGTGGTGGGCTGGACTTGCATCTCTCGTGAACATGGTTTTGAATTTCAGCTTCAGAAAAATTTCAGCACCAACCGAAATCACTGAAATTCAGTGAATTTCAGTGATTTCAGTTTCCATTTCAGCCAAATGACCGAAATATTCACTTGAATTCAATTAAAATTTTGAAAAAATTAAAAAATATTTTGAAAAATATTGGAATTGTTGTGCTATACTGAAATTGCTGAAATATTTTGGCCGAAACATAATATTTCAGCGTCTGCTGAAATTACTGAAATTCAGTGAATTTCACCGAAATCTCACTGAAAGTGAAAACCATGCTCGTGAACCATGATCCAGCGCATCTGTCTTCATAGCTCCCCTTTCTAGTAATACTTCGATGGGAAGGATGGCACAAGTAGTCGAGAAGATTGAGAGCATGCCTGCGCGTCTGTCTGCCACCTTGTGTGCAAATGGGGACGGTAATTAGGTGAACAACTTCAGGCGGTTTCTCCTTTACTGATAATGAACAAGTTGATGTAGTTCACACGCTGGAGAATCAAGAAAGTGAAGGTGACACAGACAGTTCGAAAGCATGCGTGTGCCCATCGCGCTTGAAAGCCATCTTGGAAAAATACAGCCTTGGATAAGGTCCAAGTTTAAAAATCAAAGGGATTGTACAGCACGCTGCTGTCACAACACTGAATGAGCAACACATCAACCATCTAAAACACTTGATGTTCAGGTGGACAGTTTTTTTGCCCCCTGGTGACTTTTCAAAAAGAAAAAAAAAACTTGATGTCAAAATGAATACTACTGCTTCACGAGCGAATTTCCGGAACATACTTGTGACTTTGTGAGTCAAGAGAAACAATCAAAGGTGCAGATCAATTGGAAAAAATGGACAAAAATAAATATAATACTGTATGAAATAAATAGCTCCAGAATAATCTGTTACATATATAATGGTCTGCCATACATATCAAAGAACAGAAAATATATACACACAACCCTCCTCATGACCACGGAGTAAAACCTAACTAGTAAGTGATCAGAGCACAGAATAATAAATCTCGCCTGTACAAAGCTAGATCAGGCCTTCCTAAGAGAAGCACGACGATGAATGAGAATGACACGACGAGACGATCGCATCCATCCGAGCAATAAGTGACCAAGCCGAGCGATCAGGCGTAGGCGCCCTGCTGCTTGTACCCGCCGCCGTTGCGGTGGTCGCGGCGGTTGTTCCTGAAGGCGCAGCAGCCGACGGAGTAGACGATGACGATGAAGACGAGGAAGACGATGTTGATGATGGCGGAGCGCTTCCAGTTGCGCTTGAGGGTGGCCACCACGCCGGCCTTGCACGACTGGCAGCCGTAGCAGAGCGCCCCGTCGTCGTTGGACCACGCGCTGCAGTCGGGCTCCGTCGACTTGGCCGGGCCGCTCCACTGCGTGCCGTTGACGTAGGTGAAGCCGCAGCTGATCGGAGGCTTGCAGCAGCCGGACTGCTCGCCGGAAAAGATGAAATGGTCAGTCAGCCTCCGTCGCAAATAAAATAGTCGATTAAAGAATTTCTTTTCTGACCAGGAAAAAAAGGTTCAATGGCTCAGTCCTCGCTGTTATTTTTATTTTATAGAAAGAGATAATTTGGTCACGGAGCAGTTGGGTTCTGCGACCTGATAATAGGAAAGTTTGGTAAAATGGCACCCAAGCGTTGAGATGGAGGTGTCACTGCCAAACTTGAGGTCTCTGGTCTGGTTCCACGTTGCAACGGTCAGAACGTTTGGAAAGAATTTAATGGAAAGCAGCAGCCCTGAGGGCTGCTTTGGGTCGAAGAAAAATCACTATGAATCAGGAGCAATCCGTTGACAGTATCGCCGCCGGCTCAAAGTCACCCCTCGGAAATCGGGAGGATCGTATCGAACATTGCTAGTATTCAAAACGTTGGTCTTCTCTTGACGATTTCTTACTAGTAGTATCTTTTTAACCATGCATGCAACTCTTGTGTGTAGTTATTTGATTGAGGTTGGGACTAGTAGTTAATTATTGTCCGCACGAATAAGCAGAGCGGTTCGCTATCTCAAAATACAATCAACAAAAGCAAGTGGAGTAATTTGATTGACCCTCTCTACATGATGCTGACCTCTGGCACAACCGTAGACGTAAACATCGCTCTAGATCAAGTTGCGCAACTACAATTTCTCAAACCGCAATTTGTTGACCTTGGGCAGGAGCTACTATCTTATCCTTTTCCGTGGTCGGAAATATCTCGGCGAGCACGTACGCAGACACGTGAAAAAGATCTCATTTTTCATGATATTTGTAAGTACTTGATCAATTCTTCTCGGATCATCAAATATATTTTCCCTAGGTTTGTTATCTTCAGGCATCAAATGAAATTAATTAATGGACAAGAAGAATAATAAAAGGTAAGAAGGCGAATCGGCAGTGAAATGAATTACCTGGATGGGGGAGAGATCGGAGGACATGAACTGGTCGAGGGTCTCCCTCCTGTCCTCGAGCGACTTGCAGACCTTGGCGTCCTGGAGGCAGCCCCTGATCCTGTTCCAGTTCCTGTCGTTCTCCACCCGCCTCTGCAGCCAGGTGGAGTAGTCCCCGAGCCGGTACTCCTTGAACCCGCGGCCGGAGACGGCCTCGCCGGTGTCCTTGTGCGTGACGACGAAGGCGAAGACGGTGATGCCGAGGAGGACGACGATGAGCAGGAACATGGCGACGAGGTAGAACCAGAGGAGGCAGGTCACGCGGCAGCAGGCGCCGACGAGCCCCGCGACGGAGACGAGCATGAGGAAGACCCCCAGGACGATCACCGGCGCCGCCAGGTACCGCTCGCACTCGGTGCCGTCGGCGCGGGCCCGCAGCCAGATGCCCCCCGCCAGGATGGGCACCGAGAGGAGGAAGGTGACTGCGTTCAGGATCCCGATCATGGTGTTGCTCAGCCGCACCATCTTGTCCGGCGGCGTGGGGGGTGGTGGTGGTGAGGGGCGGGCTGGGTGGCGGTTGGCGCGGCGGTTTTCGAAAGGTTTTTGGGGGGAGGCGGCGTGGTCTGTGGATGAGATGTGTGATGATGTGGGATGGTGGCGGGCGGGCGTGGTATTTGTAGATGGTGCGCGTGGATTGGGTTGGGCCGGGGTGGGGTGGGCGAGAGGAAAGTTCTTGGGCTTTTCGTGTGGGAGCGGAAAGGGGCGTGGCGGTTGCTGATGGACGGACGGATGGATGGATCGTTGCTGGGCACGGGGACTATTGACCGCGACTCGCGCCAGGGGTCTGCACACGCACACGCACACGCAAGCGTATTGACCGGGGAACGCCTGGCTCGTGTCAGGGTCTGGACGAAGGGTTCAAAATTCAAAAAGGGGACGCTACTGTTCTTGAGATCACGCGTTTCCGGCCGCTCGCCGATCACCGGAGGACCCCGAGACTTGGTAGCGACAGCGAAGTGTGTGCGAGCCGTGCGCCGACGCGCTGAAGAAAAGTATGGCACGCCCCTGCACGCACCACGTACACGCACGGTGTCGCACGCACGTCAGCCCACCAAGAGGTAGTATTTTTCTCGTTTTCACATTTTACACCCAGGTGATCTACTCCCTCAATTTTATAATGTAGTGCTTCCTTTATCCTCGTGTTTTAACTTTGACCGTAAATTTAACTACCAAAACCGATTGCGGCGGGAGCAAAAGTTATATCAGTGAATTCGTATTCGAAAGAAGTTTTCAATTATACAATTTTTTTCTTCCGCCGCAGTCGGTCTCGTTGGCTAAATTTAGGACGCTGATAAGTGCCACACGTGTGGGTGTTAGGAGTGCGCCCACACATTTTGTGTGGTGTATTAGAAGAACAGCCCATACACCTACGTGTGGGCAAAACAACTAGCGCCCACACGCCTCTTTTTCCCCCTCCCGATTCCTCTCACACGCGTGCGTGTGGGCGAAGTTGATAACGCCCACACGCCCGTATGTCAGGCCTCGTACCTCCTGGTCCCGCACGCCACGCTGACGGTCACCGCGTGCCCGCAGTTGCCATGGTCCAGACCCTCGTCCATGTTCGTTTAGCTGCAGTTGCCATGGTGATGTAGGGTAGAGACCCTATAGGCCGATTTTTTACGAAAGGAGCGGATCCCAATGATGAACACGAAGAACACGGGGAGGAAGACGAAGGGCAACACAAGAGAATCACTCAAACCAAACAAGAACAAGTCACACATGTGCTAGATCCTCGGATACATAGAACGATACACGAATCCACGATCAACTAAGGACGATACAAAAGGGTAGCCGGTTCTTCTCCGAGAGGAGGTCTTGAATCCACAAGGGGATCTTCCCGTAAAGGGGTCTTGAATCCAAAGTGGATCTTCTCCGAAGAGGCCGCGGTCTCTCACGAGGAGTAGATCCGATGTGGATGAGCGAAGCTCTATCTCTAAGTATGAGCTAAACCAACGCTAACCCTAGAAAGTTGTACGGGATAGAGTATTTATAGTCTAGGTAACGAAAGGGTACACGGGCCTTGGCCCAAGTGACTGTGCGCAGGCAGGGCCGGTAGTACCGGTCAAGGGGGCGGTTGTTCCGCTGGGAGCTCATGCAGGACGGAAGTACCTGTCCTGGAAGGCGGTAGTTCCGCTGGGAGGTCTGGCGCTGGCTTGCGGAGATGGACGTTGAAGGGGCCAGCGGTTGCACCGGTTGTCGGGGCGGCAATACCGGTCTTTTGGTAGTTACCGGTACATCCGGTGTAGTGTCGGCCTTGCACCGCTCGATCACAGAAGGCAGACCGGTTGTTGGGCGGTGGTCGGCCGGTTGTTCCGCCCGGGCGGTGGTCGGGCGGTTGTTCCGGTCCTTCAGGGCTGGGCAAAATGTCTCCATGCTCTTGATGTCTATCTTGCACCGTTCCATCTCCTTGGTTGCTTATATGGTACCTAAGCACACAAAGCAACTCCGATTGAGGTAGTAGCCATATCTCACGTGGATCAAAGGGAAGTTCAACAAGGAGAGAGTTAACCTCGTTCTCGATGGTTCTCGCACGGGCTCTTGTCATGGGTGCAAGTGGTGTCGTGGGAGATGTAGGTAGGTCCATGGGGATGGCCTTGGGATGCTCTGCATCATCTCCCCTCCCTTGGGGAAGATCCGTCCTCGGATCAAATTCTTCATCACCATGGAAGGGAGAGAGATCTTTGACGTTGAAAATGTCGCTCACGTTGTACTTGTCGCGCGGGAGGTCGATCTTGTAAGCGTTGTCATTGTAGCGTGCAAGCACCTTGAAGGGGCCATCCGCTCGTGGTCGAAGCTTGGACTTGCGTTCTTGTAGAAAGCGGTCCTTGCGAAGGTGTAGCCACACGAGATCACTAGTGTTGAAGACCATAGGTTGCTTGTTGACGTTGAGCTTGGTCGCAAGGCGTTGTACTTGGCGCTCGATGGTGTTTCTTGTATCTTCATGCACCTTTTTGATATGGGTCGCTCGTGCACTTGCGTCCAAGTTGATTCGCTCTTGGAGTGGTAGAGGTAGAATGTCCAATGGTGACAAAGGGTTGAATCCGTAGACGACCTCGAAAGGGGACTTGCTGGTTGTTGAGTGTCTTGCTCGGTTGTAGGCGAACTCGGCGATGGGTAGACACTCCTCCCACTCCTTGATGTTCTTCTTGATGAGTACTCGAAGTAGAGCGGAGAGTGTGCGGTTTGTCACCTCCGTTTGGCCGTCGGTTTGAGGATGATATGCCGTGGAGAAGAGTAGCTTGATTCCGAGCTTGGCGCATAGGGTCTTCCAAAAGTAGCTAAGGAACTTGACGTCGCGGTCCGAGACGATAGTCTTTGGCACACCATGTAGACGCAATATTTCCCTACAAAAGAGATTAGCCACATGTGAAGCATCGTCTATCTTGTTACAAGGAAGAAAGTGTGCCATTTTCGAGAAACGGTCCACAACGACGAATATGGAATCTTTCCCATTGCGAGTTCTAGGCAAACCAAGTACGAAGTCCATGCTAATGTCTTCCCAAGGTTGGTATGGAATTGGTAAAGGCATATAGACACCATGAGATTGAGCTTTGGACTTAGCTTTGCGACATGTAGAACACCGGTTGGTGAAGCGATTGACGTCCCGAAACATCTTTGGCCAAAAGTAGCTCTTTGAGAGCGTGGCGAACGTCTTGTCGCGTCCGAAGTGTCCCATTAAGCCGCCTCCATGAGATTCCTGCAAAAGCAACAAACGAAGGGAGGACTCGGGAATGCAAAGTTTGTTAGCTCTCATAAGGTAGCCATCTTTGATGTAATAGCGTTCCCAAGATGTATTTGACAAACACTTGGCATAAGGAATGGCAAAAGTCGTATCATGCTCATATAAGTCTTTGATATGCTCGAAGCCAATGACATCTAACTCAAGTTGCGTGACAAGCATGCAAATGCGGGAAAGCGCATCCGCCACAACGTTTTCTTTACCCTTAATGTACTTGATGACATAAGGAAAAGACTCAATAAATTCACTCCATTTAGCATGACGCTTGTTCAACTTAGTCTGTCCCTTAAGATATTTGAGAGTCTCATGATCGGTATGAATGATAAACTCATGGAGACAAAGGTAGTGTTCCCATTCATGCAAAACGCGGACTAAAGCATATAGCTCTTTGTCATAGATGGGATAATTGAGTGGCGCTCCGGAAAGTTTCTCACTAAAGTAAGCTACGGGGCGCTTCTCTTGCGTTAACACACCTCCTATACAGTTACCACTAGCATCGCAATGAATTTCAAAGGGTTTGTCGAAGTTGGCTAAAGCAAGCACGGGAGCATGAGTAAGCAAATTCTTAAGCTCATTGAATGCGGTATCTTGGGATGGTCCCCAAACAAAAGGCGCATTCTTCTTGCTCAAAGCATGCAAAGGCGAAGCAATGGTGCTAAAATCCTTTACAAAACGACGATAGAAGCCCGCAAGGCCAAGGAAACTACGCACTTGATGCAAGTTGGTTGGTTGCGGCCAAGTCTTAATAGCATTGATCTTGGACTCATCTACATGAACACCCTTAGAAGAGACAACAAATCCTAAGAAAATGAGCTTATCAACACCAAAAAGGCATTTCTCCATATTAGCATAGAGAAGCTCTTTCCTAAGAGTTTGCAAAACGGCGCGGACATGGGTGACATGCTCTTGTATAGATTTGCTAAAGACAAGAATGTCATCGAAGTAAACCACAACAAATATACCAATGTAAGGGCGAAAGACATGATTCATAAGGCGCATAAAAGTGCCCGGTGCTTCCGATAGACCCATAGGCATGACTAACCACTCATACAAACTAAACTTGGTTTTGAAGGCGGTTTTCCATTCATCGCCCTCTTGTATGCGGATTTGATAGTAACCACTCTTAAGATCAATTTTGGAAAATATAGTGGCACCGCTAAGCTCATCGAGCATATCATCTAGGCGTGGAATGGGATATCTATAACGAACGGTGATAGCATTGATAGGTCTACAAAGCACATGCGAAAACTACCGTCACGCTTTGGCACAAGAATGACCGGTACGGCACAAGGGCTCAAACTTTCACGCACATGTCCATGGTCTATGAGATGTTGTACTTGCCTTTGAATTTCTTTGGTTTCTTCGGGGTTGACGCGGTAGGGAGCTTTGTTCGGAAGCGGTGCTCCAGGTATGAGGTCGATTCGGTGCTCAATGCCTCGGAGAGGGGGTAGTCCCGGAGGTAGCTCATCGGGAAAAACATCTTGAAATTCCTGCAAAAGAGAAGACAACACTAGAGGAAGAGTGTGAGAGGTGTTAGTTTGTGGTGCATTGTCCTTGCACACGAGGACGTAGTGTAGGACACGGGATGGGTTCTCACACACTTCTCTCATCTCACGTTTGGTTGCAAATAGAACGAAGTTCTTGTTTTTGCTCATCGTGGAGGCACTCAATTTGGGCTTGTGGCGCTCACTCTCTTTTTGGTGGCTCACTCTCTCACCATTCTCTC